AGCAGACTTACAACGTTGGTTATAACTAGGTTAGGTATACTTATAACCTAGGTTATAAGTCCACTTAGAACCACCGCCGGCCAAGTACCAAGAAGATGCCCAAGCCATCTGAGCCTGCTCCGAAGAGGAAACTCCAGAAGCTCGTTCGGTATGACGACTCACATGAGCGTGATGTGCCGTTGCAGCTGCTACCCCGCGCTCAGGCCTATATCGGTCCTGAACACATGCTGAAAGTGCCGGAGCGGCAGGAGCAGAGAGGGGGTCCAGGAGCAGAGGCGGCGGCCAACGACGGCTCCAAGGACTGGACTGCTCTCATCCGTCACCTGAAGGACGAGGTTGCCAACCTTCAGGAGTTTGAGGTGTTGTTGCGCATCCGCAACAACGACGACCGCAGGTTCAAGCTGGAAAGGTATGCCGTGGGAACCCACAGCGGTGAAGGCAGTCCAAGGACATAAGGACTGGGTCATCGAACGCATTGGGAACCGCGCTATCTGCCAGGAGATCTACAGCCTGGATGACGACTTCGACATCCAGAAGCTGGATCGCGGCGACCGCCCGAGGTTCAATTCCGATCCGGAAACCTCGCATATGTTTACGACCTTCCCACGTATCGTCTATCACTCAACCCACTTCAGGGGTTGCAGTGACATCATCAAGAACGGGTTGGTCGTGGGTGGATTCCCTTGCAAGACCGGGCGCGGTCATAACTACTTCACTGTGACGCCGCCGTGGACTGCCAACATGAGGAAGCTCGCGGGAACGCGAGCCGGGCAGCCGATTTACTTAGCCTTCGACACGGAACTTATGATCCAAGAAGGCGTTCGACTGTTTCGAACTGATGCTGCGATCTTGTCACTAGACTGGATCAGCAACAAGCATCTCATGTTCGCATACACTGCTCGCGATGCCTCCTTTGTGTGGACGAACCCTGCGTACCCCAAGTTCAGGAACGACTATACCATGCATCGATCAAGGAGTACCCGGACCCCAACCATCCAGCGGCGTCTGCACAGTATCAATTGTCGAGATTGGGCATGATGAAGAACTTCATGCTGGTTGACAACTGGAACGATGCGAAGGAGAAGATCATCAAAGGATCTGTCAACATTGTGCCATTGTGCGGCCGCCAAGGGAGCTTGAGGGTGTGATTGATGAGCTCGCTCAAACTGACGCTCGCTGGAAGGGGAGCAGGGTGAAGAAGTTGAATCCTGCGAGTTGAAAGGATACATGCTTGCACCATGCGCCATCGTGCAGAACTCTGACATTGCGGGATTGCGAAGCGCCCATCACAATCGCAATCGGCCATGGGCCCGAGCGGACAACTACGACCTCGAGATGTGGCAGTCAATGTCATTCTACGAATTCCGGTTGAGAAATGCAAGACGCCCCATATATGAGGCACGGAACATTGGCAGGGGGCATTCGCTGTGATTATTGCAAAGCCCACCTGACGGTGTGGCCGGATGCCCGCGTCGCAACTGAAGCTGCACGAGCCCAAGCAGAAGCAGACTTGCAGCAGACCACCTGCGTCATTGAAGATCTGATCAAGCGGATCCCCAGAAAGGCCCGCAAACCAAATCAGCCGAGGCGGCCGGGGATACCCAGCGCCGAGGCGCAAGATCAGCTTTTGGCGTACTGCGCGACAATGCCAAGGCCCATATTCGCCAGGCAAAGAAGCGCGGTGCTGCCACCCTTCGAGAGCGCCTCGAGACGGACCCTTTCTATGCCGTGAATTGTGCTCGGTCAAATTTGACACCAGATGCGCTGGATTTCCTGCAGCGGCTTGGTCGCAGCATGCGGGTCGATCTGCCGCGCAGTGGAAAGGCAAGAAGGGCAAGGGTGGTGGCAAAGATGAGAAAGGTGGTGATGATCAAGAAGAGGCTGAGGCCCGTGCCACTCGCCTGTGCTTCCTTTTGAAGCTCGATCTGAACTTGGCGGAGGAAGCATTCGTAGCACACAAATGCCGATTCTTGACATTGGCGCAATTCGCTACTTACTTGGGTGTGCCTTTTGAGTTGCGGCACTTGCAACTATCTTATTTGGAAGTTATAGAACTTAAGAAAACAACCAAAATAACTTCAAAGTAAGTTCGAAATAACTTCCAATAACTTCAATTTTTGAAAATCCAAGAAACCAGATGGACTATTTTTCAATATTTTTCAAAATCATTGCCGCTCGCTGAGACCAACCTGCTCAGTGCAAAGCGGTGAACACCGCACTTTCATGCAACAACCTGGTGTAAACCCAGCGGTGAACACCGCACTTTCATGTTACAACATGATGTAAACCAGCGGTGAACACCGGACTTTCACGTAACAACACGACGATGTAAACCAGCGGTGAGCACCGCATTTTCACGCAACAACCTGAATAAAACAAGCGGTGAGAACAGAACCCCGTAGGCATCTTGTTTCTGTCACGCGCTATCGGAAAAGGTAGATTTGGCCATCGTCTGCGCATGCGAAAGAGACAGTGACCATGTGCATTAAATTACAACCTCGACAGGAATCAAGACTGCGCGTTCCCAATTGCCCCACAAAATTTGCGCCTCCCTTTGTTAGTCCGTCCCTGCTTGAGTCCCTGAAAAAGAGCTCAATGGAAAACTGAAAAAATAACACCTGGAAACTTTGAAGACAGGGGGAGGGTGGGTGGGGGGGGTGTGGTATACGGGTCGTATACGGACGGTAGTGTAGACGGGGGCCATGGTTGTATACGGATGGTATACGGCTGGTATACGGACGGTATACGGTGGTATACGGGTGGGATACTGGCATGGTATACGGATGGTATACGGCTGGAATACGGACGGTATACGGTGGTATACGGCTGGGATCCTGGCATGGTATACGGATGGTATACGGACGGTATACGGTGGTATACGGGTGGCTTCCTGTAATTTGCTGATTTTTGCGGTCAAAAAGGCGCGAGTTACGCGGGGACCTGCATCACCAGGAGCTTGGGTGTAACTTGAAAAAAAGTGAATTTGACATTTCACAATTTTGCAAGTTTGATTTGCATGTCCTTTCTAAGGGCATCGGCAACCTTGCAGAACTACTTTATATTCTCCGTCTTGAAAACGCAGAGCCAGGCCACCCCTAAATTTGAAGAGTGAGAAATACAATGTTTAAAAGTGAGAGTTACATTTACCGTGTGCTTCACTGGCTTGGCTGCTATAGGTCATGTCTTTAAGCTTCAGTCGGTGCTCTGAAGAAACAAGCCCAGGCAGGCTGTTTATTCACTAGTACACACTCTTTTTTAGTGATGTGGTGAAATGAAATCTGATGCGGAAACTTGAAATGTGAACATTTCCGTTCATCCTGAAACGGTGAAAACCGCAATGAAAATGGCAAGCCAAAAAAGTTATGAACTGAGGAGGTTGGTTCAGCGGCGCAACTTTTGCTTCTCAACCAAACAGAAAGCCAACAAGTTTTTTGTGAAACAATAACTTCAAAATAAGTTCAAAATAACTTCCATTAAGTTAGGGGAAATATATTGGAACAAATTCCTAAGTAACTTGTAACTTTCTGCAGAAGTCTTCAGAAGTTACACTACTTCTAGTCTAGTTAGACAGGTTCTGGGCAACATATTGAATTTGCAAGTAAATTACAAATCACTTTTAAGTCCTCCTACTCCAAAGCACACCCAAGTATGTCGATTTTGCAATCTTGCGGAAGAACTTGCCTCCTCCGGTCGTTGTCGGCCGGAACGAAAGGCCGGAACGAAAAGACTTGCCAGCCGGAAGGCTCGGCCGAGAACATCCTCAAAGACCTTGTGTCGTTTGCCAGGCTGAATTGGCCTGATGCAGCAAACGAATACGGGCGCAGCTTAACTGTGGTGGAGGGCACTCACAAGAAGGTCAGTGCTTTTTGTCGGAAGTCGACGGCAAATCAGAACCTGCGTTCTGGATTCTTTCCGGTCGACCAAGGAGGGCCGCACTACAAGATTGACTGCCCGACGTACCATGAGCAGCGCCTGCAACAGCGCACTCAGAACCGAAAGGGTAAGGGCAGCGGCAAAGGCAATCGACCTCGCCCATGGGCGCCCGCACCGCATCAGTGGCGGGTTGTCCAGAAACCCAGTGAGGGGGAAGCTCGTCCGATGCCGTCATTGGCCCACCTGAGAGGACGATTGCCCAAGACATCGCCATGAAGGGTATGGCCAAGGCCCAGGGCAAGGGTAAGGGCGAGCAGCAGCAAAAGGGAAAGGGCAAATGGGAGCCAAGGCCAAGGCAAGAACGAGCCATCCAAGGGCAAGGACAAGGGCAAATCCAAGGCAATGCCCGAGCAAGTCTACCATGGTGATCGCGAATGGGCCGGCTCTTGGATATATTCGTGGATGTGGACCACTTCGAAGGGATGGTACTGGCAATGGGACCCTTAGATTCCTCAATTTGGCTGACGTGTGTGACTTCCATGCTAACGGGAACGTTAGCCGGAGTGCTTTCTTTCCTATGTTGGTATGCGGAGTAGCTGGAGTTCATTGTTCACGGCGCTAACGGGAACGTTAGCCGTCTTCATCCTCTTTGGCTAATTGTTTCAATAGCGTTGCAAACCGGAAGGTTTGCCGTGTCCATTTTGGCTGGCGCTCCTAGTGCATTCACTTTGTCAATACTAATTCACGGCAAGTGGCGCCTTTGGCACCAAGTTTGGAGTGGTAATGCTCCCGTTGTGCTAGGTGGAAACCTAAGCCGTTCATCTTGTCTTTTGCATCAGTTCGCTTCGAGCATAAAAAGAGCCGAACCTGAGCCGTACCTTTCTCCACTTTCGCACGCTTTCGTAGGACAGTTGTATTGCGCATAGTGTTGCACCCGTGACCGGGCCGCGCCGCGGGGGGGTATTTTTCACCGCTGTTGTACATACACATTTTCCTACCCGTGCATATTTGGCTCATGCAAAAAAGTGCCTGCTCTAGGCTGTTACCTGTTTGAAATAGTTTTCTTTGATCCTTCGCGGACTGATGTATATGAATTGGTAGAACCACAAACTCTGACGACCCAACAGGATCAAATGCTCTCGGCCAGCTGGGCTTTATTCCGGGACCGTGGCCTGTCACAGACACCCCTGGAGCTGCCGATGACCAAGGCTGCTGTGAAGGCCATGGATGTGATCGGCAACGCGGTGAAGCAAAGAAAAGACTTGCCAATGACCGAGAACACGAGAACACATGGGGCTAATCAGGACTGCATCACTCCAGGTGAACATCTCGAAACAAAATAAGAACCCAATTTGACGCGGGAACGTGTTCATCAAAGGGGCGTGTGGGGTGTGGAACGTTGAGGGACGCCAAGGCGAATTTCTGGATGTGCATTCGTTTGTGCTGGTCGGCGCAAGCAAGCGTGGCAACCTGTGCTGGCACACAGCCACTGTGGACGCTAGAGCCCCTTGAGGAAACTGCGAGAGAGAGAGGGACGGAATTAGTCAGTAATACTGTACAAGCGGCATCAAGTCCAACTTAATTCCCGTACTGGAAAATCAAGGGCTTCAGATCCATGCAGTGTTTGCAAGCTGCTGCAAAACATGAAGAAGCACAGTGCGAGTCACGAAAGGTAGCTTCAGCTACCTGAGTTCAATTAGCTTTAGCTACAGGGCAGGATCCTCCCACGCCATGACTTTGGGCTCGTTAAAGGTGATCCTGTATGTAAGGGCCTCCCTCCTCACCCCCCCTAGTGGATCAACTCCACCCTGCGATTGGTGAATTTTCTTTCAATTGTACTGGTACCGTGGCTTCGTTTGATTGGATTCGTATCGGGCTTCTCCTCCCTCCTCGTGCTGCTGCTGCTGCTTTGGTGTGATTGGATTCGTATGGAGCTTCGCCTCCGTGCCCGTTATTTTGCTTCTTTTCTATTGGTGCTGCAGCTTTGCGGTGATTGGGTTCGTATTGAACTTCTCAGCTGTTGCTGCTACTGCTGCGCTGCTGTTACTGTTGCTCTGCTGCTGCTGCTGCTGCTGCTACTCTTTAAATCCCACGGATCTCTCTCTCTCTCTCTCTCTCTCTCTTCTTTCTTTCTTTCTTTCTGTCTGTCTGTCTGTCTGTCTGTCTGTCTGTCTGTCTTTCCTTCTTTCTTTCTTTCTTTCTGTCTTTCTTTCTCTCTCTCTCTCTCTCTTCTCTCTCTTCTCTCACCTCTTGGAAAGTTGAGCTTGTCCACCCCCCTCCCACTCAAGTCTTTTGCCCGCACCACGTGCTTCATGCAACCTCATCAGAGAAGGTTGAGGCATGCGTCCGGTTCCGGAGATTGTGAGATTGTATGAAATTGTGAATTTTGATCTTGGCAAAGTTAGACGCCGGGACTTGATAGGTACAACGGTAGCGTGAAGCTTTGAGGCTTGCTGATGCAAAATTCACTTGAGGTCCGCGGCATTGTGCCCATCGCACGAGCAATCAATCTGGGTGCAGTTTTGGCGCGCACGCAGAGACAACTGGGAGGCTTCCCCATGGTTACTCAGGACTACGTGGAGAAGCACTTGCTCCTAGCCTTAACCGATCCAGTCAAAACCAGTCAGTCATTTTGCACCAACATCCACCCAATCGCGACATGTCGCAACCTTCTTCCATGCCTTGTGAGGCTGGCTGGCTATTTGGAGACACCCTCTGGCGAGCCGCTTTTGCACATTGAAGAGCCCTGGATGCAAACAGGTTCGGTTATGACTCATGACTTTCTGCTTCAGGTTCCTCTGCTTATCGCTCATCATCGTTCCTGGGTGATGGCATCCTCCGGTCAGCCTAGGATCCCTTTTTCTACCTGGAGCGCACCGCTGGTCTGCCAAAGTTTATCATCAACGCAGCCAGCGACGACTTCTTCATCCCTGACAATACCCGCGAGTGGTGGGACGCAGTGCCCGAGCCAAAGTGGAAACTTGGTTGGAAGTTCAAAGAGTGTTCCATCTGAATGTAGTTGAGGAATGAAGAAGGACCACTTTCACGTGTGACATGGTTTTCATAGCAAGGTCTTAGGAATGGAGATTCCGGGTGTCTCGTACTCTGATGATTTGTTCCATTGGATTTCCGCTCAAAAGGTGTGGGTGGGCGGGTCGACTTTGTTGCGGCGGCCGTGAAGGCCAAAGAGCCACGGCAGGTAGATCCATGGATTTTGGAGAGCAGGAGGAGGTCCAGAGCATTGATACGTTGCCT